TGAGTGCTGTGACAGTTTTTATACATTCTTGATTTCAATAACATAAGGTATCGCTGAATTTTTATAATTTGTACAGTCTTATTTTTTCCTAACATAATTCATAGTTTTGTATTAATCATTGTAAATAGTTGGTCTATAGAATAATAAACTTAATTTTTTTTAATGCCTAGTCAAATATTTATTTTGGGCTATTTGTTCATTAGCCAAATTTTTCTTCTTTAACATAATTATTTGTTTGTGTTTTTGCTTATGTAATGCCACACATTAGGTAATTTCCGGGCTTTGAAAAAATTAGATTTACAAGACTCCAATAAACACAAAGCAATATAATATCTCTCATATTACTTTACCAAAATTAGATCTTTGACATATGCAAGAGATTACTGTAAGACAAGATTTTTTCTTTGATGAGAGTGAATGATATCCTGATACAGTTTAGTGAAAGTTGAATATATTTTGTTCTTCATTTAATTAAGCTCCAGGTATTTCCAGAATCTGATAAGAAAGGAAAAAAGGGAGATCTTTGTTTATTCCACTTCATGAAGTAAATGCCAACTATGTCAAATGCCACAGCAGGGAAAAAGATATTCTTTAAAAATAAATAAATCACATTCTTCTACATTTCATTGGAGAATGTCACTTTGTCTACCAGGTTGATGACATGTTTTCTTCTAAAGTATCTGAATATCTTTCTCCTCTTTCTAGGGATGTTCTTATACCACAAAAGTCTTGAAGTGTCGATACTGGCCAATATCAGCACTGGGTATTAAAACTGAAAGTTTTGCTGGCTGCTGCATCACCTTCCAGTTGTTTTTACTGCTGAGAAGGTACTATACTCATTATAATGAAGGCTGAGTTGGCCCAGAGCAGCAATTAATATTTTGTTGCTTACTCCAAGGAATTGAATTTAGGCTTTCTAGTTCAGGAGTCAATGCATAAGTCAGTACTTTAGTTTACACTCATATGATGTCTTATGTACAGCAGACAAAAGAAGCCCCAGATCTACAGCCCTACTAATGGGTTCTGTGGATAGTACTGTATACGAGATAGGGGGTGTATAAGAAATTGTTGGTAAACTGATAAAATGGTGTCTTTACATTGAAAGTTCTTTATTGTGTTCAAATTTTACAAATGTCAGTGCAAACAAATAATGGCCGGATGGTTAAGTGGTCAATGTGATAGCCTACTGCTCTGGGACCTGGGATAGAATCTGGACAGGTTAAATAATTCCCAGGAATTTTGGGGGGTGATCTGACCAGATATGTCAGCCCTGTCCCTTACATGGACCTGACCAAACCCATACTGAGCTTGCTAAAAAGAGACCTTCTTAATGCCCACAGAAAGAACTTAGAAAAAAAAAATGCAAACAAGTATTTACAAATTGTGGCACATTTGAAACATCACCGATGGTTCAAGTTAATTAACAAAGGAAAGTACTGCATAATGTTTAACTAAATATTTATTTATAAATAGTACTTGTATTAATTACTTTTATTAAGCACATGTACTATAATAGGACTTGTAATAATGTATTTATAGTAATGTAGCCATCACCAACAGTTAAGTGTTAATACTGTTGAAAATTCTTGTGGATATGCTAGATATATGTCTGATTATAAGCACTAGAGTTGTCAGAAGTATTTCATCAGTGGTTAATTGTCAAAGCTTTCAAATTTCACTTGATAGATACATCAGTTGTAAGTGTAACTATACAAATATTGTAAACATCAGAAGTATTCAACTAATAGGTAAATGTAAATTCATTCAAACATCACTCACGAATGCATTCATTACTTGAGTAATTGTGAACAATTATGTTTTTACTTTGTGATAACCTGAATTGTATTTATCTTTATCTTTTAAAAGTATTGTATTATTTTGAGATGCAATACTAAAGAGAAATCACTAAGATGGTGTGATTAGAAATGCATTTATATTAGAGAGAGAATAATAATAAATGTGTCAAATGCTAGCATAATTACTTGATTTGTTGCAGTTCTAGACAACTGAAATTTGGAATGGAAGATCTGTACCAAAACCACTTGGTTTATGAATTATGCATATTCTGCAGAAATAAAATTTGACTTAATACATTTATTGATTTTTGGCCATAATATTTTTTATATATAAGTTTAACTTTACCGAAAATAGTGTAAAATTCCATTTCAATTTCTGATTTGGCTGCAAAATCCAGTTTTGGATGGGCCTTACTTGTTTTTGAAAAATGTAACGATACCATATCTGATACCCAGAAATAGTGTTGATACCAGTATTGACACCAGACCAAAAGTAATGAGTAAAAATGACTAAACATTGAAGAAAGTATTGATATGGTATCAGTATTGACAGTATTGGGACGTCCCTACCTCTGTCTAATATTTTAGAGGCTTTAAGTAAGAAAAAACTTACACAAATTTTTCACTTTTAGGTTTTGTTTGAAATATATATAACTAGAGAAATTTCTGTAATACTCTTTAGATCTAATAAACTATTGTACAGATCTTTATAATTTACACATTTCTACAAAGCATATGATATAAAATTTTAGCCAAGACCCTTACTTTTCATTAATTCATTCTAAAGTTTTTTTTTGCAAAAAAATGATAACATTCATTCTTTTGCTCTCTGCTAGAGGCAGCAATGTCTATTTAATTAGGTTGAGACCTCATTAGTGTAAAAATGAGCATAAAAACCCTTGCCATAATTATTTTTAATTATATGACCATCACTTGTTCTGAATATATTACATGGGAGCAGGGTGTAAAATGAGTCTAAAGCGAGTTGATCAGTGTTCAACTTTCAACATGAATATATCCATAAAACTGTATCATCAACCAATCAGAAGTCAGTGGACTTCATGTCATCATGACACCAGGCAAAAACAGTAGAACAGAGCAAATATGCTCATTTCCTATCTCTTGCTCTCACCATTTTGATGCTTGTGATATTTTTTGATTAGTTTTATTATTAAAATGGCTACTGCATAGATTTGGAATGATTTCATGAAAATATCAAAAAATATCCTTGTATCCATGACAAGGGGCAGTAGAACAGGACCTCCACTGCAATCCAAGTGCAAACACAAATAGGTCATGTAATCTATATATATAAAAATGAACGTATGTGTGTCTGTGTGTGTGTGTGTGTCCTTCATGCATTACCACACCATTTATCCGATTGCCGTGAAACTTTGGGAAGTTGTTTAATATACTCCAGCGAAGGTTTGTGGCATAGTACGATTGCCATGAAACTTTGGAAAGTTTTTTTAATTTTTTAATACACTCCCGCGAAGTACATTTATCCTACGATAGATGGCGCGCGTTTACACGAGCATTCGCGCACAGTGTGTTCGATCGATTTCAAATTGCGAAGACCATTTCCCCCTTTCAAAAAATATCTCTATATATGTATTTGTAAACTGTTATTTACGATATTTATAATAATTTTTGTTTAATCACTTTATTTTGAGTTTTTTTGCTAATTATGTATTCGCTCGATATTTGCTCGAACTTCGTTAAAATCTTAACTGTACCCCGAACAACGACCGAAGTTGTAGGAAGAAATTCGCCTATTTTACTGATCTAGGTATTTCCCCCTTTTTCAAATTTTAATATCGACTCAAAATAATTTAAAAAGACAAATTACAATAAAACGGTTTATTATCCAACTATCAGAAATTTCACAACATGCCAAGGAAGAGAGGAAGGAGCAATTAAATAATTAAAATTATAAAGGATTTAAAAATATATATAAAAATGGGGAATATCGCACTTCTGACAATCGCTGCGAGTGTGTGGGCTAAATTTGGAGAATCCGTGCTTCTCGCGTGGACAACTGTATGTGGCCGGCTCATGCGTCAGAAAACCTTCCGATTTATTCGTGTACGCACCAGACAAAAAAACAAAAAATATCGTGTATCCACGAGCACTCCAATAAATAAATAGAATTGAAACAACACTTTGAAATGTTTTCCCAATGAAAACGAATAATAACAACAAGTTTCAATAAAAATGATAAAATGAAAATTTAATTTTATCATAACGAGTTTGCTTGAATTTTGTTTCTTCTGAGATCGCAGCAATGCGCGATGGGTAAGCTAGTTAAAAATAATTATGACAAGAGTTTTTACACTCATTTTTATGCTAATGGTGTTGCGGCCTAACTCTGTCTTTTCAAAGTAATACATTCTTAGAAACTTTATGATTAATTTTTATGCCAGTATGCATGGTATTTTTTATTACATGATTTATAACGATAACAAAAAATTTAATGTTTTAAGTCAATGTTAAATATAAAAAATTCATGAAATTTTCAAAATGTTTGCAATACTGTCATTTTCTACATTGAATGGTTAGTTTCGGAAGCATATGCATAACTATTAACGAACCTTTACATCCGGTAACAAAATGTCCAATGAATACTTTCAATCTTACCCAAGGTCTGTTTCAGGTTATAGAACAATTGAAATCCAAAATTGAGATGCTTAGAATGGAACATTTTTAAAACATTTAATTTAAAACATTTGGAACATATAAAACAAACAGAAACAACAGTGGCAAATGCGTGAATTCAACATATACATATAAGGTAACCTACATGTACCTATTATTTGAGAGTCCAGTATAACAGTAAATAATATAAATTCAATGTGCATTAGCATTGCCATGTTCCTCACACAAGTAACGCCAGGCACATAATAATGACGCACTTGAAACTATAAATTACAATAAATAATCTTTTTTGATGTAAAATTGTTTTTGGTTGGATATATTATGAGTACACATTCTTTTATAAATACATTTTTATATAAATGTGTTTTTATATGAGTGTATTATCTTAACTTAACACAGTATATCATTTTCTTCAGAGAAGCCAGGCAATCAGCTAGTTATTTATAATTTACATTTATATCTATAATAATTAGTTCAGCAATATAATTACCATATTTTCTCGTTAGGAAATTAGTACATATAATATTGTATGAAATTTAAAGATCATACCTTTGTACCTTCCACACTGATAATTCTATATAAGTTACGGGTGGAATCATAGAAAAAGCTGACATTGACTGCCTGTGAGCTGGCCGGTACCCAGGAGCGTTTTGTCTTGGGATCAATGTGGAAGACATGAGCTTTAGTAGTAAAGCTGGGCTGTTCCCTAAAGATGATAACAATATATTAATATTCAATTATATAGTATAAATCTGTATTCAGTAATGTTACAATAATAAATTATATCATTATATATTTCTGATTACATCTTATGTTTTAAAAATAACAGAAATTTCTAATTATTTTTTACCCCTTTACATTTAAAAAGTTGTACAATATAAACAATCTACAAAATGTAAAAAGTTCTATTAATATCTAATGATGTTTATTTTACAAGATTTATTTTACATACTTTCATTTTATTAATAAAAATAATAAAAGCCCTAATTAAATTAATTAAATTAAATTTTAATATGTGAAAAACTTGATTTAAAATTCTTTAGTGATGACAATTTCTAGAAAAAACAAAGTTAACAAAAATGAAATGTTCTGTGCAGCAATGAATTGCAAAAGAAAGAAAAAAAAAAGTAAACCAAAGAGTGAGATAAAATGCAAATTTTTTAGTTATTTATGTTCAAGTAAAGTAGTTCACTGTTCCTTTATTAATGAGTTTTTCTCCATTTATATCTTTTTTTTTATAAATAAAAATTAATAGCATATTTTAATAAAATATTAGCATCATATAATTTTTGTAAAATTGCATTTTGAAATTAAAAACCTTATTTTCTGAATTTTATTCTATGTAACATTTCATAACTTAAAGATTGCTATTAAAGACAGTTGAAAACATTTGTTATTATAATAAATTTGTTCATTTTAACTAGATTACAGGTGTTAGTTGATACTTTTATTGTAATCTCATCCAGTTTTGAAGTATCTTTTAAAAATTTTTAAAATTTGTTCTTGGTGATTCATTTTTATTAAGTAAAAAAAATAATTATTATAAAAATGATATATCTGCATTATATGTATGAATTCATTTATTGTATTTATGCCTATATATTTATACCAAAAATTAATTTTGTTATAATTTATCTCTTCCACACAGTCATTTCAGTCAAATGATTTACTGTCCAAATTTTCTTTGTTAACAAATACTGTAAAATATTTCTATAATAATGCAGTAATATTGTTTCTTTCATTATTTTAGACCAGTGATCTTCAAATTTCTATATTCAGAAAATCTTTCTAAATAATTCAGATTTTCATAAAATTATTATTGTTTACCAATATATTTCAGGTCGCGCAGAAATTTCAATATACAGGTATACCTTGAGTTACTATGTTCATGATTATACATTGTTTATCAAAAAAATATATGGAAAAATAAAAATCAAGATTAAGTCATTTTATTCAATTTTACGTCCATCCGCCACAAATACCGAAGTCGTAATATCACTAGAAGAGTGTTAAAGCACATAAAGTCATATTAAAATATGTACATTTACAGTAAATGTTAATATAATCCTAGAGAACGAAACATGAAAACATCTGTATTTATGTGTTGCCATCTTATTTAGCGGTCTTTAAGTGCTCAATATTGGTGTCTTCCATGGTAGCTCCAATATCTACCATTTGGCGTCATTGTCAGTGCCACTCGATATTGGGAAATTTAATATAAATTAGTTTATTTTCTACTGTCACGAGATAATTTTAATAACTGTATTTATAACTGTATTTGTTATTTAACCTTATAAAATCATCATCTTTTATAATGTCTTAGAGCAAACTATATTCACAAATAAAGAGTCTGTGATGTACTGTAAACATCACCAAATTGTAAATATGTACATGAATTCGTGAATTTAGATTACTTTTTTCTGTACAATATTAAAAACTAAAATTTATTTGTTTGTAAGCTTAAAATAGATTCTTACTAACCATATATTATTAAAAATGCATTTATAAATAAAATACAGAACTGGGAATGATTATTTGTGGTTTAGCCTAGTGACAAGTAAATTTGACTTATGTTGTTTTTCGACTTAAGTCGCCTCTCCTGAAACCAATTACCGACGTAAGGCGAGGTATACCTGTATACACACACATATACAGATACAAAATAAACAACAAGCATATTATACACACACACACACACACTTATATGCCAGAATGTGTGAATATGTTCTGGAAGTTTTTTAATAACTGTGTACAAAATATATAATTGCATATAAGTATATACAGAAAGATGAAAAGATTTAGTGACATCTGTTATAAATCATCAAAAACTCTTTTTAGATATATATTTTCTACATGTTCAAATCTACACTACAAGAGGTGTGAATTTTAATTTCTGAGTACATTACACACTTTTTTTATTCTGCCTGTATAATACAATAGAGAGGTTGCGGCTGAAGTTCAAACGTTAAACTTGTATGGCAAGCAGAAGTACACTTTTGACATTTGAACTCGAAGTAAAACACGTTGCACACTGACTCATGGGATATTACTGAAAAATGGCAGAAACATTTAACAATGATGAATGTTACCAGCAAAGATAAATAAACAAATTAAACTATTTTAAAGTATTTATAGAATGTTTAATAACACTAAATAATTATTTTTAATTAGCTTAGTGTCTCCTACCATACGACAGGATGATAGGACTACCTCATACTTTTGTTGAGGTAAGTAGTGTCTTATGTAAATCTGAAAGCAGTTCAGGAAATTATTTTTAGAAAATTTACATCTATGCTGTTGATGGTAGAAGATGCTGTGAAAGAACAAACCTACTCCTACAGAATTATGATAAGCTATTATGAACAGAAGTATATGTAAATTCTATAGGCACTTCACATCACTTGCATAAGAATTAAATAATTAAATAATTTATGAATTAAAATCATCTGTTTCTTTACAATATTATTCATAAATGCTTAAATAATAATTATTTTAATAAAATACGTCATAATTTTAACTCAAACACAAAAAAATTAAGAAGTTTAAGCCGAAACTTCTACTTGCCATGCTACATGTAGTGAACGCCATTATCAACCTTCTAGAATTGCCAGATGGTGGCACTCAACATCTGACGTTCATGTTTTGGGCTGAAAACGTTGGCTGCAACCTCTCTAATAATACAATATCAGCACTGCTGAGCATAGCTGGTGGTAAGATATAATAGAGGGTTATATACATGGTTTGATAAAACTTTCCATAAGCATCGTGCCAAGATGTATAGTAATTCACAAGTAGAGTAAACAAGCTTAAATGCGACAATAAAATTCATACATCAAAATATCTGATAAAACATACATTGTTTGTTTGTTTTGCTGTGTGACAGATACAAATATTCAATACATAATACAGAATGAGCATGAGACAAACATACAATATGAACATGCAGATTGCAGTTTACAGTAAGTACGCAATATGAGCGAGCAAGTCACTGAGTAGGAGACAGTTCTACTGGCTCAAGGAAGGAACTGTGCTGATGGTGAAGTACTTTTTGATCAAATCTTTGAAATAGTTGTAGTTTTGCTTTTTGAGTAGGTATTTATGTGTATCATGCCAAGTATCCCTATTTTCTTCCACCTTCCACTGATGTTTTCAGTTGATGTCTTTCTAGTTCTAAACTAAAGCAGTGAAAGATATAATGTTTGCTACCATCTGGAATGTTACAAAAGGAACAGAGGTTCATTTGTTGTAAATTAAAACGGCTACAGTAAGAGTGAAACCTACCATGTCCAGTTAAAAACTGTGTAACATGGTGGTTAATGTTAATCCAGTTATCGTTGATGTAGTCTTTTATTGCAGGAATAAATTTGTAAGTCAGGTGATTATGATTGTAATTCCATTTGATTTGCCACTCTTAATAAGATCCTGTTTAAGCAAGTTTTTAAAATGTTCTATGGGGATTTTAGTGTAGAAAATATGAAGATCGTTGTCCTGTGCTGTGCTGCGGATTTCACTAGCTTGTCAGCCCTCTCTTTTCCTTTGGTGCCAATGTGAGCTTTTGTCCAGTTAAAGGAAACAAAGTTAGAGGAGGTGATTATCTCTTTGATGATATCATTTACTATAGAGTGGTGGCCTGGGTTCTGGAATCTTTTCCTGTTATAATGAAATTTATACTGTTGAATTCAGACTTGGATTTGTGAAGTTGAATGCTATAAATTGGTTCACACTACAAAATGTAAATAGCAAAAATTTTCAACATGACTGCCAGAACAATTTGCTAAGGGGAAAATTTGTCAGAAATAGTGTTACATGTTATATATTATTCACTCTGTTTTGTTTGCATTTGCTAGTGATTCAAAGTCAGTGTGGGCTAATCTGAAGTGAATACATAATTTATTTCATCATATTTTTAAATGTCATATTTTACAGCATATAAGATGTGACTTTTGTTGAAAGTTAAAAAAAATCACTGTGTCTTGCAGTGGTGTGCAGTGACATTTGATGATAGGGAAGACATGTTTCCATAAAAATTATAAACAAATACTGGAAATGACAAAAATAAACAGTTTATTTATTTTTATTCTAAAATAGAAACATTGACATAAAACAAAGTTATAAGAACTTGTTTATGAAAAAAACTACATTTTATATTTTAGAAAATATGAGGGAAGTGGCACTTCCACAGCTTCCATGGACTGCACACCACTAATGTCTTGTATGTGAAGTTGTAATCTTCCTTAGACTAATGAATAATGATTAGAACGTTATGCATTTGCATAGAAGCATATGTAAAATACACATTTAGGCTAAACTTCTTATAAATTCATATTTTCATATTTTGATGAATAAATACAAATTTGGTATGTTTTTTACTACAGTTCCATCTAAAATTATGTAGAAAAAATTATCAGTTCAATTCCATTAAAATTTATCCAATAAAATGCAAGCATTTTCAGATAGAGGCATCCACTTTTATCAAACATGGGAAGATGCAATTAAACCCTCCTGCTTTAAACTTTGACATGTTAGCATGCAAATTTTAATAAATTATCCTTCTACTGATTATTTTCTATCATCTGACTGAACTTCATCACCTTACACTCAGTAGAATTTTTTTCTTCACAAAGAAGGCATTCACTAAATGTCCAGCTCAAATTAAATTTTTTTAAAAACTGTGAACTTGATCTCAAATTCTCTCCCAAGCCAGTT